GTTTAAATGGAGAGAAAATGTTTTGAGAAACGATGTACAAATGCGCTTTACACAATTGATGTGTGTATGGATTGGGATAACAGTTGTGTGAGCCCCTAATAAAATGTTAAAAAAGAAAAAATATATATGTACATAGGTCGATTTCCCTATCATTATATATATATATATTTACATATGTGCATGCCTGTAGTTAGGCCTCTATAAATGTCCTTTGCCTCCTAGTTCTCTCCTCTATTTTCTTTTACTTTCCTCTTGTCCCACTATCATGTTCAGCCTTCATTCAGGTTACAGTAATTCCTCTCAGTTACATTGCCCTTGATCAAGCCTCACCAGGCATCCTACACCCTCCTCGCCATCGATTTTAGATCACTTGTTGTTCCCTTGTCTCTGGGTTTGTTGACTCTACCCTCCCTCCCCTCCCCACGTTTCTCTGGAATTGTTGGTTCCGTTGTTTTCTCTTCTGGATTGTTTATCCTGCCTGTCTTATCTAGCTAGATGTGCAGAGACAATAATAAGCACAAAACAAGACAAAGCAAAACAAAACAACATAGGAAAACAAAATATAAAACAACAACAAAACCAACAACAAAAAAAGAAAAACCTATAAATAGTTTCAGGTCTGTCTGTTGACCTTTAGGAGTGTTTTCCGGTTGAGTCTGATGGGGTGCCACACTCTGTCTCCCAAGTCTATTTTTGGTATTCCCCAGAGACTTCATTGCTTTGCTCCCCTTGCTGCTCTGTTGCAAGCCCTTACTGTTTCGCCCCAGTGTGGTGGGGTCAGATCGGGCACTGTGCCTCCCATTGTCCATATAGTGCTATGGTCAGTGAGGGACATCATGTCTTGTGGTGGGGCTGGCCCTATGGTCCTCTCTGTGCATTGGCTGCATATCGTCCTCAAGGCTTGGTGGGCCAGGATGTGTCCCACTCTCTCTCCTTCCCTCTTCATTTGTTTCTGTGTGCACTGATCACACGTGTCCCTCTCCCTGAGCTGTAGCTTCAGTGGTGTCCTCTGAAGTGAATTCTTCTGGGAGGGGAGGGGGGTGTCCACGTAGTTGGGATTGGGGCCGGCTCTGCAGACCTCTCTATTGGTTCCCTGCTTCATGCCAGTATGTTGCATTCATGTCTTGGTACACCGGGTTGAAGTGTGGTCCCTCCCTCTCTCTCCTGTGGCAATATAAACAGTACCTTCCCCTTGGGTGGGTTAGTGTCCTGTTCCCCCACTACCCATGTCTCCCCCCCACCCCCCCTCCCTTTCTTTTACCCTCCTTTTTAGTTGGCTGCCATATGTATCCCTAGATTGGGTCTGCCCCTGCCATACTACCTGGACCTCACCACAGCAAAAAAAAAAAAAAAATTCCCCCAGGGCCTGATGGCTTCACAGAAGACTTCTACCAAGCATTAAGGGAAGACCTGACACCAATCCTACACAAACACTTCCCCCAAAAATCCTTTTAAGGTTAATCAGGAGGGGTGTTCTAACTCAGGAAGGAGGCCAGCAAGGCCATTTAGATAAACAATGGGGCATGAGACCTCAGGGTGGGGGTAGTCTGAGATGGTGGTGGGATGAGCCCTGGAGAAGTGTAGACCTCAACTGTGCCCCCAGAAACCTGCTGCTTGTCAGAGTGTCTGGGGTCCTGTAATCATTGCAAAGCCTGCTAATCACTTCCTGTGATCAGTGCAAAACCTAGAGGTTTTTTGCCACATATTTTCGGGTATATCCCTTGCTTGGTTTTCACTGAATTTCTGAAGCCATTTGGAAACAGCAAACCCCACTGGTTCCCATGTTTCATGCTTGCAGAAATAAGAGTTTCTTAAATCAAGCTGGTCTCTGTTTTTGAAACAGTGACGGGCACTCAGAGCCCTTGTTCCAAACCAGTAGTACTACCGTAGCTCCTGCACCACGACTCTCTTGACTCATTCAATGTGTTGCTAAGTTAGGTTCCTTGATACAGAGCCCCAAGGATTCATTTCCAGGATGTTTTTGGCGCCTTGACAACCTCTTCCTGTTTTGGACTAAAGAGTGGTATTTGAAAAATCAGAGTGGTTTCATTGTTTAAAAAAAAAGGATTCCACCCACTGGGGGGAGACTGGGAGTCTGAATGGCAGCGATACCCCACCCCTGCGGATGTGTCCCCTTTACTGAGAAGGACTGACCTTGTGCCTCGCTTTGTGGCCTAAGCATAGTCACTGGGCCTGTTTTCCTTCATAGCCATGTACGTTTCTGTGTGTCAGAAACTATGAGGTTTATCCCCATTTGCCAATTTCTGACACATTCTCAAGCGATCACGGAAGCTGGTTCTTTGGAAACGCGTTCTAAAGAAAGCTATCTCTCTTCCTTCGTGCTGTACATTCATCCAGAGGAACTCAGGGCAATGTTTTCTTTCATTCAAAATACTCCACCCGTGGCGTAATGCCAAGAATAAGCCAAATGGTTAAAAAAAGAAAACCGTGGAATTTTCCACTTAAGGGAGTAGAGATTTTACAAGGAGGTTGAGAGGGCGGGGGGGCCGGGGGCAGGAAAAGAAAAAAGGGGTTCATTCATCTGAAACGGCCCTGGAGCCCATTTCCTCAAGCGTGGAGAGCGCAGACCACTCGGAGGCTCATGGATGCCCTGAGCCCGGGGCCTGGTGCTGCCCCACATCTGGGGCTGGGGAATCTCTCCCCACATTGGTTTCTGAGTCAGGCCCACCTGAAGTTTAGTGCAGGGTTTGGTGTAAGTTGATTTATCAGAGATCCCTCTGGCCTTCTCACAGTCTGTTTTCACACGACTACTTTAACTGCTTGCGTTACTGAGGGGGAGCGCTCGGGTTGTGGAAAGGTTACCTGGAATGGTGACTGGACGCATTAGCTATGCATACACTAGCTCTGGCTCAAGGCAGATTACTCACCCTGCTCTGTCAGAGGAAAAGTGTAGCGACTGCAGGAGTTAAGGAAGCACATTGTGAAGATTGGTGGAGGTAACTAAGAGCATTACCTGGCTCACTGGTAAGAACTCAGTGAATACCAGGCGCTCATGGGCAGTAAGGGCTTGGCACAATTTCCTGGCAGCCACGGGTATACTTGAAATGCAGCAAAACTTGACTAGCTCATATCTGTTCTTTGAAAGGTTGAATCAACCCTGTGGCTCAATGTGTAAGGGGGTTTGTGCTATGTTTTCTGTTTTTTTTTAAGAGTATTTGTACACGGATTTAAAGAGACAAGACTAGATTCTGCTTTTGTGTCTAGCTAGAGCAAATGCCATTTAAATACTAAACTGAATTAAGTACTAACACAACATTTTTTCTTAAAGAGGTTATTCTGATTTCTCCTTCATTTCACAGCATAAATTTTATTAGGAGTCATCATAAAGAAGATGTTCTAGATACTAAACTCTTTTTCAGATGTATGATTTACAATTTCTTTTAACATTCTGTGCATGATCTTTTCACATTCTTGAATGATCATACATTTAACTGTTGATAAAATCTTGCTTTTATATAAATCGATAATGTACAATTTAAATTAGATGAGCTTTGAAAAAATATATTCTTTTTCAATTTATATTGGATGACATTCCTTATAAAATTTATTTTATTGCATTAAAACATTCAAATTGTTGAACAAAAAGCTGTACAAAATAATAAAACGTGACGATGACGTGATAGCTATTTTAGATGGGCCCTCTTATTTGTCATCACAGGTTAGTGCCCCCAGACTCCATGGAAAGTCATGTAACATTATTTCTGACTTCCCCTAAGAAGTCGTAAGTCTGCTCTGAAAGGTCAAAAGGCTCATGAGCTCCTTCTGGTGACAAAAGGGCGTGGAGGGCGCCCTCCTCCTCTTGGCTTTGCTTAAGGAAGTTGGCGATAACTTTCCATCGCGTGGCCTCCGTCTCTTCCTCGGCCCACCGGAATGGGGGCAGCAGCTTGGAATGGATAAGCGGGTACACAGAGTTGTGGTACACCAGGGTAAACGCAGCCTTCAGGAACTCTTGGTCTCTCTGGGAAAACAGCAGCACCACAAATTACTATGAGTTGTGTTGCATTCTATGAACTCTGGTAACTAAAAGAGCCACCGCAGGGAGAGGGTGGAGGGTGCCCCCATTACCCACCAGCTCTGAACCAGTCACTTGCTCAGGAGGGGACACAAGCAAGAATCAATGTGGAGGGGGGCTGAGTGGTTCTGCCAGAGAGCTGGAGACCAGTGTCTACCACACGGCTTCCCTGGAGGCTGTCTCGCATTCCATCAGGGAGACCAGTCTAATTCTGTCACATGGATGTGGGCTCAGCGAAGCATACCATTACAGGGACCACAGAGACCTGCCATCTTGTCATAACAGAGCGTTCTGCATGAAATCCAAAGAAAAGAGACTCAGGGAGTCACAAGCTGTTGGCGTGCCTCCAGGATCATTTCAGGGAGGAAGTCCTTTGACCCTGAGCATGTCCGATCCGCCCCGCACAGCAAGCATGCTGGAGTACCAACACTATCAGCCAAGCCCCAAAGCGGACAGATTGGAGTGGGGATTTCAGAGCCCAGCAGGCTGGTAAAGGAGACATCAGTCCGCATTCTGATGCCCCCCTCCCCTAACACTGTGTGCTGCTGGCATGTCTGTGTGTGTGTCTATGTGTGTGGTGGGGTTGGGGGACAACACATCTTCTGTGGGCACAGCACCTTGCTGTACCAGGCCAACAGGTTCTAGCAAAGATCAAGTGAGATGGTTCAAATGGAAGTTCAAATGCAGACTGGATCTATCTTGAGTTTAAAAACAATGAAGGGGTTTACTTTGTATTCCAAGTTCTTTGCAGGTAATGAGCCCTTTATGTCAGGAGTTGACCAACAGTGGCTCGTGGGCCAGAGCCGGCTCACACCAGAGGCCCGGGTATCTCTGTACTCCCTCGGCTGCTTGTGCTACACTGGCAGAGGTGGGGGCTGTGACACAGACCACCTGGCCCCCCAAGTCTAGAATCTTTGCTCCCTGGCCCTTCACAGAAGAAGCCTAAGAACCCCAGATTACAGTGGTCCGACCACTCATTAAAGCAAGTTCTGTGGGTAGGTACCATGCATCTGGGCAATGTAAGCATGAGCCATGTCCTTTGTCAATAGATACCGCAGCTCAGGCCAACTGCTGCCCTCTCCTGACCGGATATAGATACACTCTGAAAGCGAGGGGACTTTCTTTCTTTCTTTTTTTTAAGACTCTGCTTAAGAAACAGTCCTTCAAAGAAAGCTCAGTAATCTGAAATGACTGCTTGGGCCAAGTGTTTCCATTTTTATACAACTAGTTCCCACATCCCACAACATATCTGTCAGCTTGTCCTAATGTGGTTTGTGTGTTGCTGGGCCGCTGGAAGCTGTGCCACTGGTATTTCAATGACCAGCGGGGTCACCCAAAGGGAACAGGTTTCCCTGGAGCTTCCGGAGTGAGAGCAGACTAGGAAGCAGGGCCACAGGAGACTTGACGGAGAGCCTCTGCAGGCCGCCACAGATCGCGCCCGAGGAGGAGCGCCTCCGGCCACACGGCACACAGAGCCCCTCTCACAGCCGTGGACGACGTGACTGGATGCATGGAGTGCACGCTTCAGGATGGTCATTTGCTGATGCATTATGACTCAAAATAAGAAGAAACAGCTGCAAACACCTATTAATAATTGGAACTCACGAGGCCTGAAGGGTGAAGGGAATGCGGGGTAGAAGCGGGGAAACCAATTACAAGAATCTAAGTATTGCCTCCTCCCTGGGGAATGGACAGCAGAGAAGAGGGCGGAGGGAGACATCAGACAGGGTAACTTATGACAAATTATAATAATTTATGAATTATGAAGGGTTTAGGAGGGAGGGGGTAAAAGAGCAAACGATATTGAGGGCTAAAGTAGAGGGCAAATGTTTTGAGATTGATGAGGGCAACAGGTGTACATAGGTGCTTGACTCAATGGATGGATGTATGGACTGTGATAAGAAATGTACGAGCCCTCAATAAAATAATAATTAAAAAAAGAAGAATGAGGGTAACAAATGTACAAATATACAAATGTGCTTTATACAATTGATGTATGTATGGATTGTGATGAGTTGTATGGGCTCCCAATAAAAAAAAAATTGGAACTCGGAATGTATAAGTAGGAATCTAGGAAAATTGGAATCCATCAAGAATGAAATGGAAGACCTAAAGATTGATATCCCAGGCATTCGTGAGCTGAAATGGATTGGTCTTGGTGTTTTGAGTCAGGCAGTCATAGATGGTTTACTCTGCTGGGATGGCAGACTCAGGAGAATGACATTGGATGCATCACCAAAAAGAGCATCTCAAGATCTTGAAGGGCATTGCTGTCTGTGATAAGGTAATATCTACCCTCATACAAGGAAATCCAGTCAATACAACTATTATTCAACCTCATGCACCAACTACTCAAGCTACTGATGCAGAAATGGAACAATTGCACTGATGCGTCCGCCCAAAATTGCCCAGCCATGCAATCAGGTCGCACTGATGGTTACTGTGACTGCAATGCAGAAGTTGGAAATAAGGAGGAAGGGAAAGTGGCTGGAAAATGTGGCCTTGATGAGAAGTAGAAGAGGAAAATGATAAATAAAGCTAGATTGTACGAAAGAATTTTGCAAGACCAACAACTTCTTCATTGTAAGTACTTTTTCCCAACGACACAAAAGGGGTTGGTTTTTCCAGATGAAATCCACAACATCTGTGAGAAGAGAGGACGGAGAAGCGCGATCTCAGCAGATCAAACACTTACTTGTGCTCATTTAGAACCTGTACATGGATCAAACGGCAGTTGTACAAAGAGAACACGGGAATGCTATGTGGTCTAAAATCAAGAAAGGTGTGCGTTGAGGTTACATCCTCTCCCCGCACGTATTCACTGTGTGTGCGCCGCCGAGCAGGTCATCTGAGAAGCTCAAGGTTACATCCTCTCCCTGCACGTATTCACTATGTGTGCGCCGCCGAGCCAGTCATCCGAGAAGCTAGACTACATGAGGAAGACCGTGGCATTAAGTTCGGAAGAAGGCGTATTGACCACCTCTGATGCTCAGATAACATACCCTTGCTTACTGCACGTGAGGAGGACTTGAGGCACTTGCCAGTGTAGCTCAAGGACTGCAGCCTTCACTACGGACTACGACTCAGGGTGAAGAAGCCCCAAAGTCTCACAACCGGACCAACAGGGAACCGCACGATCAGCGGAGAAAAGGCTGATGTTCGCATGGAGTCGATCTCGCGTGGATACACAATCAGTGCTCACGGAGGCAGCGGTCAAGGGATCTAACAAAACACTGCGCTTGTTAAGTCTGCTGCACAACACCTCTTGAAAGTGTTGGAAAGTAAGGATGGCCCTTTGAGGACTAAGGTGTGCCTGGCTGACCCACGCCACAGTGTTTTCCACGGCCTCGTATGCATGCAGGAGTTGGACACTGAATACGGAAGACTGAAGGAGAACCAATCCATTTGGATTGTGGCGCTGGCACAGAAGACTGACAGGGCCACCGGCTGCCGAAAGAACAAACCACTACGTCTGGAAGCAGCACCGCCGGAAGGCGCCTGAGAAGTGAGGGTGGAGGGACTGCGTCTCCCGTACTTTGGGCATGTTGTCGGGAGAGAGCAATCCCTGGGGAAGGACATCCTGCTCGGTAGAGCGGAGGGGCAGTGAAAAAAGAGGGAGGCCCTGATCAAGATGAAGTGGCCCGCGGTTGTGGTACGGGCGGAAACACAAGGACAACTGTGAGGACGGCCCAGGACGTGGCGGTGCTATGTCCTGTTGTACTTAGGGTCGCTACGAGTGGGAACATGGAATGACGTAGCAACAGCGCCCACATTAGGGAATGTTGCTCCTGCCCTTTCTGGAGTGTGTCTTCGCAACTGCACGGCACAACTGACTGGCTGAGAGAAACCGTGACTACGGCTGCTTTAGTCTTTTGTACAACCCCCCCCCCCCCAAAGACAGATTGAAACATGCAAGCAACGTGAAATTCAGCATGAAAGTCTCATTACCTTCTCTGATCTTTTTAGCGTACTTTCTTTCTCAGCCCACGAACTCTAAAAAGCAAACATACATTATATTAATTAGCCCAAGTATTTGTAATTCTTCCCTCCACTTGCACATCGTCACTAGCATATACACTTCAGAGAAAAGGTTCCAAAGTCGGCATAGCATCTGTAGGCGCAGACTGTCTTAAGGTAAGTCCGGGAAAGGAATTCCCAGGCGTTCGAGTCACAGCGTGCATGTGCCCGGCAGCCTGAACCCCACGTCCTTGTCCAAGCAGTACAGGGCCACCACACTCCATGGTTTATTCCGTCCACTGGCAGTCCAGGCTACGGTCAGTAACTCCTCTTCCCCAGCGCTACAATTCAAGGGCAGCCACCCTTCTCCAGTCCTCCTTCGTCATTGGCCAGCCTCCACGCACCTCTGAGGCTCGACTCAGGCGCACCTTATCCCTCAAGGCCATGCCTTTCGTCTTGGACAAAGATACCACACTTCTCTAGGCTTCCACGGGCCGTGACGATGACAATGAGCAGAGTAAGGACAGGGCTTCAAGCCAGGGCCAAATGGTTCACCCTAATCACGATCCCGCCCCAGGGCCCTGTCAACACTGGAGAGCAGCCCATCTAGATTGGGCATGGGTAGGATGCGAACTGCGACGCCCCCTCAGAGGGCTGCCTACTGCTCCCCGGGGCAATAATCCTGGGTCCTGGGATTGGTGGGTCCTACGGCATTAGGTTGAACCAATTTTGAAGGTCCCAAATGGCTGACAGCTGGCCAGTTCATGATTCAACCTGATGGCCAGCTGTTTTTCCGGCTAGAAAAGGTAAATGACGTTACAAATAAGGCACGGGCCCTGATCCCTGAGCACTCAGTTGATGCATCCAGCACATCAGTTCAGATTTTCACGCCAAGGACAAAACCAGCAGCTGTCCTTTGCCACGGCATAACCAGGAGGTCAAAGACTGCAGGAGCGCACACAGCCTGCACTGGCGTGTCCCACTGCCCACCTGTCAGCAGAGGCTGCCTGTTCTGATGCTGATCGGTTTGGGCAGAGCTCCCAGACCAAGATGGACTAGGAAGAAAGGTCTGGAGATCAGCCAATGCAAACCTGATGCTCCCAGGGTCCGGTCTGCTGGCGCAGGCCTGGACGGGGCTGATCCCGTGTGCATGGGGCTGCCGTGAGGTGGGCCGACCTGAGGCATCTACCAACAGTACCACGCGGTTTTTCCGGTCAGGGAAGGCGGCCTAGAGAAGGGATGGTTACGCTAAGATTGGAAGGATGAGGCTGCATTAGCTAGACAAACGGATGGGGATTAGAAGACACCATCAACGAGGGGAACATCAGCTGGAGCAGGGGACAGACGTACTAGCGTGGACAGCTGAGTTCTCGCAGGACACAGCAGGTTCACATCGTGAGGCAGGCTACCCACCCTGAGCGCATCCATGATGTCCGGCTGCTCCAGGAGCTTGGGGAAGGTGGCCAGGACTGGATTACTAATCAAATCTGAAACACAAGAGAACAGAAAAGGACGTGTTGCACACCTCCCTGAGGATGTTCTACTGCCATAGATACACTGAGTATTCGCTCATATTCAATGGCTTGTCCACACATTCAAAACACTTCAACCTCTAAGAAAGCTGTCTTACTCCCCACCTCCCCACTGCCCCCAGCCTCCATCCATCCTAGACTCATTGACTAGATTGTTCTGAAACGACTCTTGAGAAAAGATGCAGCTGTGAGGGGGCAGTGCGATACAGCGACTGTGAACAGTGTAAAACCAGGAAACAATGGTCCGTTTCCCCAGCCTTTCCTACTTCTGATGATTGTGTGGCACTAAGGCAGCTTCCAGTCAGGAGACCCTTTGCTCGTGGAAGGCTGAGTAGGAGCCAGGGCCGGGGCCACAGAGGTCCTGAGCAGGCTGCTCAGCCTGGACCCTTGTCTCCGCCTCGTGTGTGGTGCTCGGGAAAGGGCCCTGGGCCAGTGCCTGGGGCCACAGGAATGGGGAGGAGGATAATATGGAAAGGACTCGGGAATTTGGGATTGTAGCTACAGGACTAAATGCCCTACATGAGAACACCCAAATTCCCCATCAATAGTGAAAGACATGGGTAAGGCCGCACACCAGACAGGACTCTGAAAACAGCAGGGGCCTGCAGTCTTTGTCCACGTCCTCAGTGGAGGAAACCCTTTCCCCTGCTCTTCCTGGGTCCCTTCTGCTGGGCATGTCCAAATGATGCCAACAAGCCCGAGGGGACGTCTCCTCATGGGTGGGGAGCACTGACACACCTTACTCCCTTCCGGAAGCCACACAACATGCAGAGGCCAGGGATGACTGAAAGGTTTTACTGAGCACCCACTATCCCATCCCAGGTTCCCGCCACTCCTCGAGGAATCTCTAGGCTTTGCTGACTTTGAGCTCCATGTCTGCCTCGCTCAGGAGCAAAAGGGGCCCTGGTGGCACTGTGGGCTAAGCGCCAGGCTGCTGACTGCAGAGTCCGTGTTCAAAGCCACCAGCCCCTCGGAGGAGAAAGATACAGGGGTCTGCTTCCACAGAGAACCCCAGTCTAGGAAATACTGCCACTCACTGCCATCGAGTCGATTCTAGCTCCTGGCCGGCCTATGGGATGGGGTAGAACTGCCCCGTGAGGTTCTGAGACGGTCACTGTTCGCAGGAGCAGAAAACCTCGTCTTTCTCGTGTGGAGCGGAGGGTGGATTCAAGCGGCTGAGCTTGCGGTTGGCAGCCCAGTGCGTAACCACTGTACCACCAGGGCTCCCAGGATCCCATTCCTGAGAGCACACAGTGGTAGAGAGCCCTTACCAGCACTTTGCAAGTTCACCCTGTCTCTCAGGAGCACATCTCCAAGGATTTGGCGGTAAAATACCAACAGGTGAACGCAGCACATGCTTCCAACTAATGTTTCTGGCAGCAGACTGTGAGAAGAAAAAAAAAAAAATCAATAAAATGTCTTTACAATCTGACCTGCAGTAGGGTTCCCCTCCCCCATTTTATTTACTGCTTTCATAAATTGTTCCAAGTTCTACTTCATTATTGGGGGGGAAACAATTAAAAAACCATTTAAAGGCAAACTTCCGTGATTAGCCATGTTGAACTTCAAATAACGTATTTTTAGGTCGACACTGTTAAATCTCAACTCGGTGCTGCTCATCTTTCAGCACGCAACCCCGGAGAGGTAAGTGCCCAATAAAAAGGAAAACTGCTGATTCCGTGCTTGGGGACAATGAGGCGGACACCTGTGAGCTCTGGCGAAGGCATGTGGCCACCCAGCTGATGTGGCAATGCGGAGGGGACATGGTTTGCCCAGTGGCAGACCTGACTGGATCCTGATGTTGCCGCTCCCTGGCTATGTGATACTAGGTGAGTTCGTTTGTAGAATGCGGCTGGTGGCACCTGCGTTTCAGGAGGTGACTGAAGGATTCCGATGAGGCGAGTGTGGGCTGCTGACTGCAGGCAGCACATGGTACACAGGAAGGGCACACATCAAACTCACTGCTGGCAAGTCCTCTCTGACTCAAAGCTAGCTACCCTTCAGGACACAGTAGAAGAGGCCCCGGATATTTCTGAGACTCTTCACGGGAGTGGAAAGCCTCATCTTTCTTCCTCAGAGAGGCTGGTGGTCTCGAACTGCTGACCTTGCAGTCGGCAGCCCAGCTCATCACCCACGACATAACCAGGACTCCTTGTGTGAGAGCAGTTATGGGAAGAAAAAAAGTTAAAACTCAATCAAGGGAGCTTCAAGAAGTTTGCGGGCAAAAATTTCATGATGTTTTCATTGCATTTCCATGAACTTCGAGCCCCCACCCCCTTGTGCACGGACCCTGGCCCCGAGCATGAAGAATGGCCAGGCAGAATGGCTCACAAACCCTGACCAGACTGGAAGGTGCTTCGGGGCCAAGAAAACACAGAGGCTTTAAAGAGATCTTCGAGAATTCATTCTTCATCGTGGTTTTGGCGGGAAGAATTCTGGAAGAGGTCAGTGACAGAGGAGACGTTCAGACTGCCTGCCTTTCGGGAGAGACTGGAAGGAGTGTGGCCCTTCTGACCGGGCAGAGGAATGGCTTCCAGGGGGTGCTTTCATGGGATTTATGTAAATATCCCTGACCACCACTCTAATCTCGGCATTTCTAGAAGCAGCTAAAAATTCAGGACAGATTCTTGTAGCACATTTATATTCATATGCTTAAATAAAACACATTCGCATGACATTAGGCATATGAAGCCAGAGAGCATTTTTTCTAACCCTATTAAAAATAAAACTCACTCACTGCCATCTAGTCAAACAAGGTTGACCTGCCCTCCGGGTATCTGACACTGTAACTCTTTGTGGGAGTAGAAAGCCTCATCTTTCTCCCATAGAGCGGCTGGTGATTTCGAACTTCTGACCTTGAAGTTGGCCACTCAACACATAACCACTTTGCCACCAGGGTTGTTAAAATACTGACCTAGATTTCAAAGCCTGGCTGTGGAGGCTCCTCCCCAGAGAAGCTGCCTTGACACCCCGCTGGCTTTCCAGTGTTCTCCTGTGACTGTCACGGGTTGGTTTACATCCCGTCCCTTCACCCTCCACCCGGGTCACACACATGGGGCTGCAGGCTCCACTCCAGGGAACAGCCACAGAGCTTGCTTGAGGAAGGGGCGAGGCCTCTCTCCCTCCCAGGACACGCCCCCCCCCATCTGGCCCCACTGCTCAGGCCCCTCTCCACAGGAGGCGATGCCCCCGCGGTTTTCTTGGGGTCTCTGCAGGGCGTCTACACCCTCTGATTCCTCCCGCCCTAGAGAACCAGGAAGCGCTGAGATGCTAAAGGTTACAGGAGCCAAGTCAAAATACACCTCACAAGGGCTTTCTAGCCTCCTATACAGGCCGGCAAATATGAGTGTCAGAAATGTCACAACATGAATGTCATGAATGGGCCTCAGGCAAATAAAAAACCGTGTAGGTTCTGAGCAATGATATAATGGAAGTAAACGAGAAATGAGATGGAATGCATCAGAGAGGCAAAGGAAAATAAATTTAAAGCAGATGTATACACACACACACACACACACACGCACGCGCACGTACGCAGGTGCAGTGCTTCTGGGTTTGAGAGCGAATGCACCGTGAGTCAAGGAGTCTGCACTCAGGGGCGAGAGGCAGCCCTCTGGTCGAATTGTAAGGTGCTCACCCTCCCACACACACCCCGAAAACAGTTCTGAGATCAGAAAGGCATCTTGGTGAAACTGAAGCCTCTCTGCTGTCTCTTCCTGCTCATGCTGAGAGGGTCCCCAGGATAACCGCCCTCTCCCCCAAGTGAGTTGGATGGGTCCCTGAGAGGCTCTGGTGTTGGCCCCCTGGTTAGAAGAGCCAGCCCCACACTGTTCATACCGGCATCTTCACAGGGGCCCTGACTCCCAAGGAAACCTGCTGGGGGGCTGGGGAGCTAGTGACACATGAAGAGGCAGGGAACAGGTAGAAATGGGCACTGCAAACTCTACCTGGGCTTCCTACTGTGGCCATGATCTTAGGCATAACAGGAAAGAGCCCCCTGTCGTTTCTCCTTTGAGCTGAGGAGTTTGGCAAAATCAAGGTGAGGTTGGTAAGGAAGGAAGGGCTGTATGCTGTAACAGGACCAGAGCTGCTGGTGCCACTGCCAACTTCCACTCAAAAGGGCGGGTAGGGGAGGAGGGGTACCCTGAGATGGGTCAGGCCAGCCTCAGGCCCCACTTCCAGGGAGCACAGGTTCAGGGCAGTGATACCCAACCGTGCCTAAGTTCTCACCTTGAGCCTACAGCACAGCCCACACTTGGCCCCACAGCAAGCCCCGGGGCACTGGAGCCTCACTGTCCCCTAGCTTCACAGTGCCCACTGCCGGTTTCTGCAGGAGCCAGCCTCTGCGTGGGGCTGCACCAACAGGGAGCCACAGCTTCACTTGATTTTTCCCAAAACACTCCCAAATCCTTGGCTATCGAGTGGATTCAAATTATAGAGACGCTATAGGCCAGGAGAGAACTGGCCCTCTGGGTATCCGAGACTGTAAATCTTCATAGGAACAGAGAGCCTCATCTTTCTGGTGGGTTTGAACTTGACCTTGCTAGGAACCCAATGCTTAGCCCACTCTGGCACCAAGGGTGCAGATTTCAGGATCGTGCCAAGTGGAGCAGCAACTTCGGGAGAAGGAGCACACGTCCAGACAAGCCAGGGAGACTGGGACCTGCGCAGAGGAGGCAGAACAGAGCTCCCAGAAGTGCACACCTTTGACAGTGGCAGGAAGAACTGTACTTTGAAATAAGCGGGTCCTACTGTGTGCTGTGCTCAAGCAAGCACCTCCGTTCTGGAGGGTGTTCGGACGAGGGGCTGGTGCCCATAGGTAGGAGGCCGGCATGCAGCTGGCCTTCCACTGCCTTGATCCCAGTGTGTCTGCCTTCTCGGCCTTTCACTATCCACATGGCCTCTCTGTATCAGGGCTGGGGGCCAGGGAAACACTACGAAGAGCGCCACTTGGGAGACACGCTTGGGAATGCTTGGCAACTCCTGACTCTCGGAGACTTGTCAGCTAGATGAGAAGTGGGGGAGCTGGAGGAGGAGAAAGAATGAAGCCAAACAGGATTGAACTTTTCTCTGACAAAGACTGCGACTGTGCTTCTGTTCATCATAAAAGAAAAAAAAAAGTAATGTTCCAAGGAAAGGTTAGCCAACATTAGGAAATTACCGACTCCGTAAACACCTGGAGGCAGGTATGGGGGAAAGAAACAACGCCAAAGGAATGAATAATGATAATAATAATAATAATCCCTACGGACATATGATGAGTGGGTATTGAGAGATTTAACAAGGATCACGGATTGCCGGTCACTGTTGCAGCCAAAGACGTGAAATAGTGCGGTTCGCTGCCTCCAGACGGCTTCAAAAATCCAATGAAAACCAAGCAAGCCCTATATCCCAAGGCCGGTGACAAAAAGCAGGTTTTGCACTGATCACAGGAAGGGATCAGCAGGCTCTCCGATGACTACAGGACCCCAGACACTGACAAAAGCAGCAGGCTTGGGGGGACACAGTTGAGATCTACACTTCTCCAGGGCTCATCCCCCCACCCTGAGGTCTCATGCCCCATTGTTTATCTAAATCGCCCTGCTGGCCTCCTTCTGTGTTAGAACACCCCTACTGATTAACCTTAAGTGGATTTTTTTACTGCAAGGAAGGGGGCTGTTACATTTTAGATTTTTTTTTTTTACAAACTAAATCTTAAATTATGTTACATTTCTAGTATTTTGATTAACAGCAGGCTAATTCTTTTACCCCCTCTGTTGCATGAAGCAGCTGGTGGGTTCAAATTGCAGCCCTTTTGGTTAGCAGCCCAGTAACCTGGCCAAACTTAACCAGTGTACCACAAGTTCCTTATTCATCTTTACATATAGTAGTCATAATAATAAATAACTACAGCTAAAACCTAGTCATCTATACCTATAATAAAAAAAATAATTATAGCTAGCACTGATTTTATCTTTCTGCGTGCCAGGCACTATAAATACTAAATGTGCTTTCTTTTTATTTAAACTCATAAAGAGCTTCATGGGACCAGCATTATTATGTCCATTTTATAGATGTGGACACGGAGACCCTGGGAGCTAGTTAGATGACTTGTCCACGGCCACGGGGTTTAGAAAGGATGAGATTTGAGTAATATAAAAGCCCCTGAGGCAATGCAAATTAAAATCACTATGAGATAGCGCTATTCACTTATTAGATGAGATTGACCAGCAAAAACTATCCAGTGCAGTCAAGGATAGAGAGAGAATGGAGACAGGAGACTACCTGGTGGGTGAGTGTAAAATGGTACATTCGTTTGGAAAGCAGTTATACGGCTAAACACCTTATGACCCAGGAACCCCTCCTCCAGAAATTTATACCCAAGAAAAATGAAGACAAATGTCCACATGAAAAAAAAAGCTTGTATGCAAATACTTAGGCATTATGCAAATACTTGGAATTTCATTCACATTGCTCCAAACTAGAATGACCTCCATTTTTTTCAACTGGTGAATGGGTGAGGAAATTGTGGCTTATCCGTCAAACAGACCACTATTTAGAATAAAAAGAAGAAATGATGCAGATGTGCAAGAACAGGGTCGGCTCTCAAACGCACCATGCTGAGTGAAAGAAGCCAGACCCCAAAGGCTACACACATTCTGATTCCAAATGCATGCCATCAGGGATAGGCCCGTCTTCTAGGGGACAAGCCACCTACAGACCAGCAGCTGTCTGACGCTAGAGCTGGGGAGCTCCCACAAAGGGAGATGCACGGAGATGCTCACCTGAGCGTCACCACTTCTCTCCATTGCTCTGCTGATCCTTGGCCAAAGCACTGATAAGGAAAAATGACCGATGTGAGAGGGCCAAATAGGAGGTGAAAACCCATGCAGAGAAGGTCTACAAACCCCAGCTCTGACGACTGAGAGTTCACTGGGCAGCCTCAAGAGGTACTAACCTTAGCATATGTCTCGACTTTCTGCTCAAAGTTCTCAGCTTTACGAGAAGTTGAGGCTGCCTTCTGATTGTCAGCAGCTGGTGGAAAACACTGCCATACGCTTGAAAAGAAAGTAACACAGCTTAAGACTTTAAGTGTTTGGAACAGTGAATATATATCTTATCAAAGTCTATCCACCAGGGTGCTGAATTGTATGAAAGGCAAAAGTCACCCACACCCCACAAATGAACTAAATACAAGTTAAGAGGTGACAGGACTGCCCCCACCTCTCCTGATAGGTCCCAAAGCCACCAGCACCTCACTCCATGCTGCCAGACGACAAAGGAAAGAGTGCAAGTGCCAATTACAAAAGCGGGTCTGGGTTCAGGACGCCACGTCTGGAGCAGCCGCAGGGGGACAGGAGTGTCTGAGGAGAGGACGCGCACTCAAAACCCTTACCAGTGAGTCCATTCTGACACAGAGCGAGCCTAGAGGGCAGAGCAGAGCTACCCCTGGGGGTTTCTGAGGCGATAATTCTTCCTGGGAGCAGAACACCTCATCTTTCTTTCTCCCGTGGACTGGCTGGTAGGATCGAACTGCTGGCCTTGGGGTTAGCAACCCAGTGTGTACCCCACTATACTCCCAGGGCTCCCAGTAAAGAGAACCGTAAAGGGAGATGCAATTCTTCCAGGGTTTGTGGCTCCCCACCTGCCTCATTCCCCATTTCTGTGTTGTCTAGCACAGTGCCCGCTCAACGAAAACACTGAGAGACCATCACCCTTCTAAGTGGAGACCTTGGATGATACATCTCAGTGTCAAATGTCTCCATTGTTGACCTGCATTCATCTGATCTCTAATCCCACAGTGGGTGGAGAGGAGCTACTGCAGGGTCCTCGTCATCAGTGGTAGAGTTCTACATGAGAGGGTCTCAGGTGTGCTGTCACAAACAGAAGCACTCAGATGAGAAGGATTCGAGTTTTAATATTAAATGGCCTATTTCTAAAAATCGGGACTGAAGTATAAGATATTGTGCTTCTTAAACTACAGCTCCCTTCTCTGAAGAAGCTTCAATTTCTTCAGGCTTTGAAGAAAGGCAGGCAGACAACAGTAAGAGCTGCTGTACCTCTTCTGGAGATGGAAGGGTCCACTTCAACGCCTTTCTCATACGGCGTGCCACCACTCAGGAACAGCTCGTAAGTCCTGCAGAGAAAGAATGACTCCCTGTGACAGATGTATCTTTGAGGCAGCTTGCAAACACCGGGGTCGGCCGTGAAATCTCTTCTCACACAAAAAAACGTTCAGACACTTTCTTTCAGTCTCATTGGTCAATGCCCCTCATCTGGGAACGATGGCTGATCCCAGAAAATAAACATTTGCCATGTTTACTATAAGCATTCAAACCCTAAAATGTAGAAAATAAAGGTTTTTCTACAAGATACTGAGCTAATGTCACGAAAACGTTTTGGCTGCAAGGACTGTGTGAACGACAAATGACTAACTTGTGTTTTTCGTGTATTTTTCATTGGTTGGCACAGTGCGCTGCATGTTGGGCTGCTAATCGCAAGATCAGTGGTTTGAAACCACTCGTCGCTCTGCAGGAAAAAGACGAGGCTGTCTGCGTTCCAGGAGTTTCTAGCCTTCAAAGCAAAAGGGAGCAGCTCCACTCTGTCCTATGGGGGCGCTGTGCGTTGGGATCAGCGCGATGGCAGAGGGTTTTAAAATAATGACATCATGAGGCGACACTCTTTCAAATCACACAACTAGCATGTGGATAGTTGTGAAAACAATTCAAATGGCATAGAAATAAGTGAAAAATCTCTTCTTCCTTCTCCCAGGTGCCCTGGTAGCACAATGGTTATACCTTGGGCTGAGATTGGGCTGAGATTGGCAAGGGCAACAGTTCTAAACCACCGGTTGCTCTAAGAGAGAAAAACGAGGCTTTCTATGTAGTGGGGGTGAGAGGTCAGATGCTTACAGACATCCTCCCTGAAGGCAATCAATAGCTGCCAGACTGCTGTCTCGCCCCACCACAGGGGTGGGCCTGCTCCCTGCTGCTGAGGACAATGGATTATTTCTCCCTGAGGCTTGCCACCATTAGCTTGGTTCCTGTAGGTGGAGTCCATACCCTATCGGTAATGGTCTCTATCAGTTGAGCCAGGGAACAGGTCAAACTGGCTCTGTGACATCCAAAGTTAGGCTGTCATCCTGTCTCTAGGATCTTCCCATCTTGCAGCATGTATACCCACAATCCCTCCTCTTCCTATTGAGTGGATACCCGTGGACCACCCCCTCTTATTACTGTATTACCTATAGTACAACCCCTTCCTATGGCGTATGTCTTCCCCTGTAATTAGGTGGCTTGCATGTCTCCAGAGAATATAAAAGCCTTGGTTAACATTAAAGATTTTCTCTCTCCACATGGACCACCAAGCAGGACTGAGGTGAGCATGCTACCATGAATTGTGTCTGACTCCATTATTTCAATATTTCTCTTCTATTTCTCATGCTTCTATGACTTTACTATAATCTTTACTTATGATTATCGCTGTACAACTGCGCCTACCGGACCCGTAATGATGTGCTAGCGGCTGGTTTCCCCTGGCATTTCTACTCCCGTACCATGTTACAGCCTCAGAGACCTGGAGGGGCACTTCTGCCTGCCCTGGGGGGTCGCTCCGAGTCAGAGTGGACTCGCTGGCAGTGAGCAGACGCAGTAGTAATCTTTCTCCTGATTAAGGAGCTGGTGGAGGACCAGGCGGTGCTCCATTCTGCGGTGCACAGAGTCCCTGAGGTGGGAGGTGGCTTGACCGCACCTAACAGCACTGCCACCAACTTGTCCCCGCTAGCTGGGAGATGTCCTGCTACATCTCTTTCTCAGCAAACATAAACAAATACATATACGAAATAAACTCACAATGAACGCTGGCTTTGTCGAAGCTGCCCAATCTCCCCGTGGAGAAAGAGGCCAGCAAAAGGCTTCCTTAGTCTTGATCCACTACCTCCCACTCCCAGAGACAAGTGCAGAGGCAGCGGCAGCCTCGGGAGGAGCGCACCCTACCCCACCCCCACCCGGCAAATGCACACACATGCAGGTTTCACTTGGCAAAAGTAGAGTCAAAGCAGACACACAATTTTGCAACTTGGTTTTTTCATATCATGATGTATACTTCGGAGATCTTACTGTATTAATGCATGGAGCTCGGTATCATTCAACTACACAGCTGGGAGCCACACGTCCTTGTCCTAGTTCACCTGTTCGGTACAACTGCAGCCCCTGAACATGATGCTGTGCGGCAAACAAACCAAACAAAGCAGTCCTACGCAGCCTGGGCTTCTGCAGGCCCCCTAGCACACTCCGCTGCCTCTCCTCACCGGACGGTGACCATCTCCTCTCCCTGCCTCCTCCCACCCTCCGACCCCGGGGTGTCAGTGCAGGCTACCGCGGGGAGTATTAGCTACATGAACCAGCACAATACATACATATTTGGGGGTAGGAATTATTCTAAAGATGAGGGAAATTGAGGCTTGGAGAAGTTATAATTTAATCTTCACAATTAATTTGGGGGATTGGAAAGAATGAATGACGCTTGGAAAAGTTAAAGAGCCTGGCTACCCGTGTAGGATCCTGGTCTTTATCATTGCAACCCGAGGATCTTAATCATCATCCCCTGGAAGCCCAGTTGTACCCCTTCTGCCCCGCTCCTTGCTTCTGGGCACGCTGCTTGCTTCCTTTGTTAGCTCCCTACCAGGTTTAGACGGCCCCTTACTCACTAACAATTGATACCTCTTTTCATATTAGGGATGATAATTGGAATATTTGTGCATATTTGGTACTGGTCTTTTACTTGGGGTTCGTAAATTTTAACTCTGTTTACAGTGGCTGCCATCATGACTTAAAGAGGCAGCGTCAGGAGATTGGAGTCTTACCATGTCCAGTGGCGGGGCAGAATTACTCTGCTTTCAGTACAGTGACATGTGCTACTGACATAAGAAATTTCTGAAAGGATCTTCTCAGCAGCCAGCCAGTGAAAACATCTTTTTAGATATCCCTATTCCAGGTGTCAGTTCTTCCTCCCCAGGGGGAGACGGTGTGGGCCAGTTTTAAAGACAACTCCAAGCAGCAGCAAGAGTAACATTTAAACTTCTCTCCCCCAAAGTTGTGGAGATGTGCTCTGTAATCTTGGGGTGCCCGAATGCTGAGAAAAAGAGGTAATGTGTACAAAAGATTTGCATTTGGGAGAAATACGCGACCAACTTACTTTGTTGGGATAGGAATCCCGCTGGCATCAAAAAGCTTCAGAAACACCCAGCCACAGCTCAGCTCTCCCCGCTCGCCTGTTGACTAGGAAATAAAACAGCACGTGAAGCTGCGTCTGCGAACCAGTCAAACTTCCTAGCATGTACCCAATCCTTGTGGAGGGAAAAATGAGTACATTTAAAATGGAAACATTCTTCACAAGACATGAAAATGACATTGAGTAGAGTCCCATTTTATGGGATATTAAAGGTACTAGGTCAAGTGAAGTCCTATTTTTGTCATAGTTTTTCTTGAAAATCCCCAAGCCTGTTTAACGTGGCCGACTCTTGCTATGATCTCTTGAGTGACAGACATACTGGGTGGAGAGATCGCAGGCCACTCCTACATGGGATGGGGAGACTTGGCTTCGTTGAGCCTGAATGTGGACTTACATCACACAAGGGCCTTCTTGATTTGAGTCCTACCCATACCACCAGCAGCAATCACAGGCCAGCGGGGCTCACTTAGGGAAGCTGCTCCCTCCCCCTCCCCCTGTCCCAGCTGCCATGACATTTCCCTAAAAGAAATGAAAGGAGGATGCGATGCCACTCGCCAACTATTGACTTTGGGCCCAATGCACATATACGGTGCCTCGCCATCAATTATTTTACTATCACCCTGTGGACACGGTCAGTGATACTCCGGATCTCCCCAGTTTTTGTAACAGGCTCGTCCAGGTTTGAGGGGTTCCCTTTCTAAAAACGTGCTGCTCTCCCAGTTCCCCTGATTAGAATTTTCAGTTACATGGGGGAAGTGCTGAGACCCTCTGTGAGGGGGGCCAAACACTGGGCTGAAATGTCTGGGCATCTTTTATCCCTTTCTGCCACGTCCACCTTTCCCCCCGTCTTCCTTCTGTAAAAGCCCTGGAGGTCACAGAAACAATACACGTCAACACCACCCTTCCTTCTGAATGCTACCGAAAAAGCAGCCCTACATAGAAAAACTGGGATCGCAGCCCGCTCGCTCCTCCAAGGATTGATGTTCTGTTGCTCAGAAACACGGCAGAGTACCTTATTGAAAAATACAGATCTATTTCAACTTCCCATTCGAAATGATACATTAGAGAGCGTTCTGGAAAATGACATACATTGCGGATGTAAGAAATTCCAAGTTCAAATAGGATCCCAAGGTCTGGAGATGAAGAGTTGGACCTGACAAAGCAGTCACCATCCAGCAAACAGGGCAAGATGCCGGTGACCTGAAAGCACAGAGAAGCTCGAGTTACCAGCACGGACTGAGGAGCGGGAGCAGGGCTCCAGGCCACTGATCTATAAGCTCTTTACAACGTCCACATCATAATAAAGGGTCTCTTAAGGGAGACAAAGAGCAGCTGGGTTGAGAGTTCTGAATTTTGAGAGTTCTGAATTTTGAGAGTTCTAAATTTTAGACTCACCCATACCAAGGAATTTTAATGAAAAATCTAACTTTTCTGTTTAAGAGAAATTCCATCACCATCCCTTATTCTTTGCTTAGCGTGAAATTTAATGTACAGCAAATACTATACCTAGAACTCCAAAGGTATTATTATTCCCCCCAGCAAACTGCTTGTGTTCATAATAAATCCATTGCTGTCAAGTCCATTTCTGTTCAGAGCAACCCTGCCCCAAAGGTTTGACGGAAGCCGATTGCCACATCGTGCACCCCTCACCCTGCCGGCCCCCACCTGTGGAGCAGCGAGCACTTCAACGGCTGTGCCACCAAGCTCTTTCTGCTTGTTTATAGTAACAATTTTTCCTTGTGAACAAAACTAAGCTTTCAGACCGAATACAAATACTGTTCCTCTTTCCCTAAGCATGCCTTGTGAAGGGCCCAGTCCTTCCCTTTCGTTCCTCCACCCCTCTCCCGAGACAACCGGAGCCCCTGGCTTGCCTGAAAGACCCTCGCCACCCTTCCCGGTCTAGGGGCTCTCCTGTAAAAGCTTCCCTGGGCCCAAGGATTCCAATTCAGTTTACCCTTCCTGGTGTCCCACAGCACCTGGGGCCCCATCACCACAAACACTGTCCTATCAGAAGCACCGGCCCCCAGGGCTGCTCTAAGGATTACGTTAGAGCCAACTCAGAGGGCTGAGCACAGTGCCTGGAGCACGGGTAGAACTCTGCCGAGAGGAGCTACTGCTACTGTAGGTGCACTCGCACTGTTTCCACAACACCGAGGAATGCCTCGCACACAGCAGATGCTTCATTGCAAAGTAACCCGTATACATGATTTATCTCCTTCCAGTGGTTCCTCTTTGTATCTCGGAAAACACTAGAAGAACCTACCTTAAACACTTCCCGCATACAGAGAAGCAACATCCGAATTGTGAACTGTCGTTGTACGAAAAGACCGTGTTTCCCAATGGATGCAGGTGCTTAGAGGATTCAAAGAAACCTTCAGGAATTGAGCTATAGACAGGTGTGGGTACAAGCAGCAAGTGCAAGGCGGCTAGGCCTTGTCCACCGCCGGTGGCCTCTCCCTGAACCTCCATCTTGCCTCAGATCTGCTGATGCAGGAAGTTGCGGTGAGGCACCCTGGAGTCCATTTTGTACGGCTCTAGATGCCTGTCCTGCACCGTCCTCACCGTCATTGGTGTTTGAGCCCATTGCTGCCGCCACCGTGTCAGTCCTCTCCCTGAGGGGCTGCCTCTTTTTCACCGACCTTCGACTTTACCAAACACGATGTCCCTTTCCGGGGACAGGTTTCTCCTGACAACATGTCCCAAATACTCGGGACAGAGTCTCGCCCTCCTTATTTCCAGGACAGGTGTGTTCATTCTTCTGGAAGCCCACTGTATATTCCATGTTCTTCACCGACACCTAACTCAACGGCATCGCCACGTCTTCTCCTTCATTCGTTCTCCAGCTTCCGCATGCATAGGCAGTGATTAAAAATACCACAGCTTGTGCACTGCCTTCCTTAACGTTCTATAATTTATCTCCAGGTTATAATAGTTATTGCAACAAGCAACAAAGAACTCACAACCAAAATTCATGAATAAAGGGCTTAGTAAAGAAGTGAGCACGTTGTAATGCCTGTAAGAAATGGCCAGAGTTGAATTGTTTATCAGGGCATGATCCATAGTTCTGTTAAGTCTGCTAACAACTACTTAAAGGGCCTGCCACTCTGCTGTAAGCCTCAGCCCAAGGGCATTCATTCACCTTAAACTTCGTGGGCAACAAATCCAACTTCCACAATGAAGTGCCCAGAGGCACCCCACTTCCCCAGGAGCCTCTTGCATAGAAGCATGCATCTTTACTTGCTCGGGGGGTTGCGAAGTCTACCACCCTGGCTCCTGGCTCTGCTCTGATCCTCTGATGGCATATCTCTCACTGGATCCAGGAGGTTCCCTGTGCAGGGATCTCAGGCCCAGAAGACTCACTCCACTCCTGGCTCTTGCAGGTAATGATATTCCTCCTCCTGCTTCTCAGAGGATTGCGCTGCAGGGAATCTTGTTGGAAATGACTCACAGCTGAATCAGGTGAAGCCTATCAGTATCTTCCGCCACCTGCTTACCAGACCCACCCAGGAAAGGCTGTTTGGGGAGGGTTAGAGCTTCTGACTAGAGGAGCCGCAGTCAATAATTCACGGCCCCTGCATCTTTGGTTCAGGTTCACCTTACTCCTCAAACTGGCATCTTTGCATTTTAACATTTTGAAGAAGTTGTTTGCAGCAGATTTGTCCAATGTAATACAGTATTTCTCACCTGCTGCTTCTGTTGGTGCTGACTGGATCTAAGCAGAATGAAATCCTTGACAATGTCCATCATTACTTTGTTGATCCTGATGTTGCCTGTGGGTCCCGTTGGGCGGAGTTTGCTTTGTCTTATGTTGAGGTCTGAGTCATACTAAAGGCTGCAGTCTTTGGTGGTCAGCAGGTAAGCGCTTCAGATACTCTTCCCTTTCCACAAGCTATATTGTGTCATCTGCATGTTGCAGGTTGTTAAGGAGTCTTCCTGCAATGCTGATGCAGCATTCAGCTCTGCTTCTCAGATTATTTGCTCAGTGTGTTAGGCTGGGTTGACTAGAGAAACAAATCCAGAGGCACTCATATATGTGTAAGAAAGAGCTTTATACCAAGAAGTAGCTATATATCAGGAAAACATCACATTCCGGTCCAGATCAAGTCCATAAATCTGATACTAGTCCATAAGTTTGATACTCGTCCATGAGACTCTCTTCAGACTCATGCAACTACATGCAATGATGCAGAATGCAGGAAGATCAACGGCGAGGGGGTGGAAAGTCTAGGTGGTGGATACATCTCCAGGGCTCACACAGGTCTCCCTGTGGCTCCTCAACAGGAAGGTGAAAGCAGAGAGAGAGGAAGTTCCCAGGATCCTCCTTATGAGATGGCCATGCCCACAGGCGGCACCATCAAGTTGTGACCTGATTGACAGGCTAGACTCCATCCATATCTTCTACGGGTGCCAGGTTGACACCAAAAAACTAACTATTACACTCAGTATTCAGACTGATGGGCACCTTTTCCATTTTAAACGACGCAGTATCCCTTTGTCTTTATGAACCACTTCCTCTTTCTCCATTTACAGATTCTGCCTGATCACACGAGGTGTTCTGAATGCCTGTTCTTTATTTACAATGTTAGGCACAATTTGCTACAATCCACATAGTTTTGAATAAGCGGCAGGTTAATTAAAGTAATGGAACTTTGGAGGTAGAAAAAGGAGTAAAGTCAAGTAAACTGCAAACAAGTAACAGTAAAAAAAGGACATAGACACATTCATCTTCTCTGAAAAAACAGAGACTATACTGCTGAGCATCTGTGTCACACTGATGTGACCACATTCCAGTCTTGGTGTCCCTGGGCCTACAGTACTAGGTTCCCAGGCCTCACCTAAACTTTATCTAAAGAAAGCACAGCTCTGGTGAGCACCATTCAAAGATGTCATTTTTGAAAAAAAAACAAAAACATTCCACACCCTGAATATATCTTTTTACTTTCGTGTCTCATCAAATGGACAACTTTTTTTTTTTAGGACTGAATTGTCTAAATTCATTGAATGAGATGATTCAGTAAAAGTAGAAGTTTGGTGAATCTGAAATATAAGTCAGGCTTATCAAAGTTTCCGAGAACTTTAAACAACCAAAGATTCAAACCTGGCTCTATGGATAATGTACTGAATAGCAATATGTTATTTCGGGGATATACTTTGAGAGTCTTGTCTTAGAAATGAATTGGCTAATTGTTAATAGGTAAAAAGAAGTCCCTTTCCCATCCAAGTCCCTCCGCAGAGCACTTACCTGGGGAGAAAAGGTCCATGTTTTGGATTTCTTGGGCTGCCATGTGGCTCTCACCGTATGAATGTTGCTCAGAACCTGAAATGATATTTCCTACGTGAAATCCGATTACAGAAAGCTTTATGAAAACTCCCAAACAGTGAACAGTAAAGTCAAACTGGGTGGGGCAGGCACAGAGGGGCAAGGGTGCTTTCACCCTTTACTGCCTGTAGTTCTGTCATGTTGGGTTATCTTTCTAGATCAAGTGCACTTAATTATAAAAAATAAAATGAATGATTTTAAGTGAAGCACTCACTATGCGAAACTTCTGGAATACCAATGAAATTTACAGTAGAGAGCATCGTGGGAAATGCTGCCCCTAAAAGCAGACTCAGAGTCCATTACTGTATCACTAAAGGCATCGTGTGCCTATGTTATTGTTACATATTGTTACCGACACACAGTTAGATCCTTCAGAGTCTCCAGTTCTAAACTATAATCTTCCTGAAGTGTAATCTCTTTAAAAAAGCCAACTGCAAGTTTATCCTACAATGTACAACGAAATGTAACAACAGTTTAACATGGCCTCAAATTCTGTAAATCATGGGCAAAACGGACATCTCCCAAATGAACACACACATATCATTTTTAGATAAAAATATTTTAATATGACACTTCTAAAAGTAAGCTTTAACAATAATTTAAAATCATCTTACAGGTGTCTTTTTAAGTCCAATTCAGCTCACTGCCCTCCATGCCCAGGTCTGTGTGTCTCCTCATTGGCATCATTATGTGGGTGAGCGAGCTGCTTGCCACGTAGGGAAACATCTCTTTCAACCACTGATATCTCACGTTGTCTACACTCTTGCTGGAATGACAGTCTTCACTTGGACCAGCCTCCTTCAGATGATCACCTGACATTTATAATAAGATTGCCGTTTATTTATCTAAAGGCTCCTCTTATTTTTTGACTTTCCAGTAAGTGTTTCCCGGGTCTAATATCCAAGAATTTTTGGCAGTAATAAGAATGGATGTGCTTTGATTTTTTTTTTCAACTTGAAGAATTCTAACTTTGATGTTCGGACTCGAGAGACAGCTTCCTCTGCCTCATATTTTTTGTATCTTTCTTGATTTAGAGGCTCTGAGAGCTACAAAGGACGGATGGATTCCAGCCACCTCACTTTACAGTTCAGAAAACTGTAGCCAAACAAGTTGGGTGACTGGCTCAGAATTGTATAGCTGGCTGCAATAGATGAAGCAGGGAGGAGTTGGCAGAGGTTAGAGCGGGGTCTGTTCACCAAACCGCATCAAGAAGGTACAAGGGCTTCTTGCTCAAGATGCTGCACTTAGTTTAGCTTCAACACAAACTGTTCTGCTCCCAGTAGTGAATGTTGAAAACGCAGAGTTAAACCTCAAAAAGCAAGAGGACTATTTCAATGGTCTATAAATAGAAGAGGAAAGCAAGGAAGTGGGTGCGGCTGAAACCAGGGTTCTCTGGAGCTGAAGTCTAGACGCAGGACGTAGACCGTGCTACAGGAGCTGAAGGTGCTCAAACAGGACAGAGGCACAGAGGCAGCCTTACTCTTGCAGGAGCCCTGGTGGCAGAGTGGTAACAAGTTGGGCTGTAGCCACAAGGTCTGCAGTTTGAAACCAGCAGGTGCCTCAGGAGAAAGACGGGGCTTTCTGCTCCCATAAACAGCTATCGTCTTGGAAACTCACGAGGGCAGCTCTCCTGTGCTCTGTAGGGTCCCTAAGAATCAGCATAGACCAGGTGGCCAGGAGTTTGGCTTGGTTTTGAATTACTGTTTGAAGTCAGAAGGTGAGAGAGAGAGGTTTAAATACAATCCAGAATCACAGAACCTAATAGCCCACATGTCCAGAATACAATAAAACAGAAACAGAAACAAAAAAACCCCTCCTTATGCCTAGAACCGGGAAAACGTCACCTTGAATGAGAGAAGATACAGCTGTTGGCAATGATCTAACAGTATCCTGACCTAACCCTACCCTGATCTAACACTATCCTGAGACCAGAAGAACTAAATGGTGCCTGGCTTCCACTACCAGCTGCTCTGATTGGGACTATAGTAAAACAGAACCTGGATAGAGTGGGAGAAAAATGTGGAACAAAACTCAAAACCATTCATAATTATTTTTTTAAAAAGACCAGATTTACTCGTCTGAGAGGCTGGTGGAATCCCTGAGGCTAGGACTCCTACTAGACACCTTCAAGAAAGGAGCTGAACTCCACCCTACAGATCAACGTTCAGCCCACCAACAGACAGGTCAACAGAGTGCACAATAATGCCAGGTGGAGGGCACTCCTTGGGGCAATCAGCCACACAAGACTAAAGGGGCAGCATGACCCAGAAGAGAAAACAGGAGGCAGGAAGGAGCGGGACAGGAGGATAAGCGGAAACAGGATGCTCAGCCAAGCAGTGGCAAGACTTGCCTTACTCTGTGGGGACTGCAGCTACTGTCAGGAAGCGAAGGGTGTAGCCAGTGTGGAATAGAACTAATCTGTGCTGCAAACTTGCACCCGATCGGCAGTAAAACGTTTTTCTTTTCCTTTTTTTTAAGTTTTAATTTTCAAGCATGAAAACAAAGTTGGAGCATAAAATATACCAGTGGGACCACACACAAAAAGAAATAGAGCAGCATAGGCAGAATTTTGTTTTGGACACCCAGTGGGTGGCAGTTGCTGCGACCTTACTTTATGCTGAAGTTGGACTCGTTCGTTCGTTTGAATCTTTTGTTTCTCCCTCATCGCCCTCAGAGATGGCAGAGGAGCTTTTCCGTTCTTGTCTGGGGTGGAATCGCAACCTTGGGGAGCAAGGCTTCCTTTACGATCACAGTCCTGTGACTGTGGTTTCCAGAGGCTGAGAGAGAGAAGAATGCCTTCCCCTGCTGTGGCCTAGAGAAGAGCCTGGCCAGCCAGCATGCCCCTAAGCAAACGTTCCTGGTCGCCAGGAGCTCTCACCACGGCTGCAGTCTCGATCCTGAGTGGCCAGTGGCCGGGCACCTGGTTGCCCTCCCCACTCAGCAGGCAGAGGCGCCAGGGACCCAAGGAGCGTCTGGAACTCAGAAAATACCGACATGGCTGCCGGAAAATTCTGGGAGGGGCGTGAAACCCTAAAACAGACGCTGAAGACCTCTGGCAGGGGAGAGCGGCACAGGTTGCAAGCAGGAGAAACCAACCAAACAAAAACGCCCTTGCAGAAAACCAGGAACAGCTGGGAGCTGAATCCGGGAAGACTTCAGACCCCGTGCTGAGGCACAAAATGACATGACGCCAATGAAAACGCCATCAGACTTTGTAAAGACTTGGACCGGCTCCTGAAGGAACACTTCAGGATCTCGTAGGGAAAACACTGCCACCTAACCATCCCCAAGCACACAAACTCACTATGCTAAAAAACAACCGCTGCGGAGCCGATTCCGACTGGTGGCGACCTTCCAGGACAGGTGGGCCTGCCCTTGGAGACAGCCTCTCTGGTCTCCCCAGAGCCGTTAGCAGCCCAGCACTTAACCGCTGCGCCACCAGGCTCCTCGTGTACGGGAAAGCAGGGGGCGGAGCACGGCCCCGGACACAACCGACCAGGACGGCAGAGACAGCAGAAAGTCCAGACACGGGAAGTAAAACCACCAGCGCAAGGCTTGGGGCTCCCGCACTCTGCCAGCTTCTGTCCGTCGTCGCTCTCTCGGTGGCAGGGGCCGGCTTTCCGCACTGTCCCCAGACTGGCCCCTTGCTATTCCTGGGGGCCGGGAGTGGGGGGGGGATTGTTCTACGAAAAATTTACTGTGAATATTGGAAGTGGCATCTTGTTATTTCATTCTAACAACAGTGCTTGTTTATTTTTAATTAGAGCTGAAAGAAGCTCTCTAAGTGCATAGCGTGAGTATTGGGGTGACGAACCGACAAGGTTCTACCACTTCTCACTTGTGGAAGTTGACATAATCCTCTTCATAATCTAGCTTCTATTGTTTTGGTATAAAGACCTGAACATCTCTGTACATATTTTCATAGATGGGATTTCATGGCGTGCACAACAGAGGGAAAAGCTTCCCAGGGTGGAAGGAAAAGAAAGCAGCTCATCTTTTCTGGGTCACAGACGCCGCCTAGTGGTTTCTTTATGGCAGTGGTTTCGTGCAGGGCCACGGAGCATATAGAAGGGGCAAGCAGTAAAAAAGAACCTGCATTCATTTCTATACTCTAAATTCAGATGAACAAATTTCCATCTTCATTCTGCGAAGATATGTATACTCAGCACGAGCAAAGCCATTGCACAAGTAGCTCCTCCAACCAGACCCTCTTCCATCTTCCTGATCACACTGCCATGCTACCGCCCAGGGCCCTGCTCCCATCACGTTGTGTGAACTTTTACCTCCTGCATCTCCACTCCCACTGCCCTTGTCTACGCTTTACCTCTCCTCTGGCCACACTTCTATCACACCGACTCTTTCTATGCATGCTCTCAGCACCTGACTTACATCCATTCAGCTGGCCCTCACACTGACTTTGAGACGTGTACCAGCAGAGGAGAGGGAGCACGCCCTATTAAGCTATCGGCCAGATCCCACCACTAGCGAGAGTGGAGGTGGCTTCGTCCTAGGGAGTCTGGCTCCGGACTGGGTTCTTTTGAAGATGGCACTACTGCCTTTTGACCGCTACACTGTATTGCAGCCTCTAAATGGCCTCCTTGTGGCTCTTTTGGGGTTCCTCTTATCCACTCACCTGGGAGAGAATCAGAGATCTTTCTAAAAGAGTAATCTAATCTAATAGTAATCACTGATTTTCACTGTCTTTGGGATAAATTCCTCAAAGTCACGGCTAACACTGACTTCTACTGTATCCCCTTACATTTCCATATCTGTCCCATTCTTCACTACCTCTCCACTTGGTCACGCCAAACCAAAAACTCACTGCCATGCAGTCAAGCTGACTCAGAGGGACCCCATAAAACAGGAAAGAATGGCCTCTATGAGTTTCCAAAGCTGTAACTGTGTCTGGGAGAAGCAAGCCCCATTCCGCCCGCAGAGGGGCTGGTGGTTTTGCACTGCTAACCAACCCTGTAGATCTTTTAGCCCAATGCATACCA